CCTCCCCCCGCCCCCGTTGCACTGCTGCAGCTCTGCCGAGGTTATGGGTATAATTTTTTAGATTGGTGAGAATTTCCACCTCATCTTGCTTTCTGAAAGCAACCATTCTATTTATCCACCCCTTACACACACACACACATACACACACACAGCACCAGTGCCTGTTTTTAGGCATAGTTTAAAATATATGCCCCCTCTCCTTAACTCCAGCCAGGGCAGCAGCATGAAACCAAGGTTCCAGCTCCAGGGAAAATGGCTGGTTGTAAGAATGTAGACATGCTGCCCTTTCGCCATCAGCTGCAAGGTTTTTAAACTAAGGAGGGTTGTTGTCTTGGTACTTAGCTTCCTTTGATAGCAGTCATGCAGAATTTTTTTTGCAAATGACCGAACAAGTGTACATGTAACCTGAGCTGGATGGAGGTCACTAGTTATTTATTTAACTACCCTTTTGTGAGGTGGAGGTAAGGAAATGTTTAATTGCTCCAGGATCTGCAGTAGTTCAGGGCATTCATTAATTCAGTGATGTTTTTTGCACGTCACTGTGAAGTAAAGGGTGAGCACTGATTGGTTTATGGTGGTTTCTCTGTGTTATCAGCATTCTGAAGTTAGCAGAAATTAAGTTGCTTTTGCATTTGTTGTGCATAAAACTCAGGCACCTGAGTTGGTGTGGAGCTGATAAGAACCTAGTTCTTGAATTTGGAAGAGAAACACCCAGTACCTTTACAAAGTGGCTTTTTCGTGTCCCCACCCCATGAACCACAAGTACTTCAGGCAAAGCGAAAGGCATTTTATTAAGGGGGATGTCAAGTCTTTATATAGGGTACAGAAACAAATGATACATACATTCAATATATGTAATGTGTCAGAAAGCAACAAATCAAACAATAAAAGACATTGATTAGACATGAGAAAAAATAGATACCCTTAAAATATGTTGCATCTCCTCCTTTCCCACCTGGGTTTGTTTCTTTAACACTTGCAACGTTCAAGGACTTCAGAATACAGCCCTATTGTTTGATTGACGCTCCCTGAAAGTTTTGCACATCAAAGGAAATAGCTTTGGCTCAAGGGAAAACCATGGTTTCCTAAACTTCAAAAGGAGGCATGGATACCATGCTAACATGCTAATATCACCTTTATTAAAATGCTAATAATAAAGCCTAAAATTCTATGTAACACATTGAAATGGCTTACTGCCTGGCTAAGAACAGCCTATCTCGATAATGCATGAATCTGTCCAGCTCTTAAAGGGAGCAAGATATAACCTCTTACAGATGCCCTCATTTTCTGATGTCTATTTTGTTAAGTGGAAAAGGGGCTTTTCCTCTTTTCTTCCCAGCTATACAATGCACTTCTTTGGCAGCTGCATTCAGCCCCTCTTTTACACTTTCAGGAAAAGTCAAGACTTCCCTTTTTAGGCAGGTCTTTTTAGTTTGAGTTAGCTGATAGAATATTATCACTTTTAACTGTTTATTGTTAGCTTCCTTGAGTGTCTTCTGGGCAAAAAGATGGCACAGTAATAAGTATGAGGTGGGCTCGCATTGTTGAAATTGGCTGGTGGGGTAATTGATTCTGCCCCCCTGTCATCTTGAATTCTATATAATTTTTTTTAATATACTGTATATATAGTATTTTTTTTTAGCTAATTTAATATAGATATTTATATTCTTACTGTTTTTAATGTTTGATTTTAATTGTGAGCTGCTCTCCTCTGGGGGAGATAGGTGACATATAAATTTAATAAATAAATAAATAAATAATAAGCTTAGTAATAATAATATCAAAAATTAAAGCAACCTTGCAAATGCATCAGGAAATTCTAATTCTTATCCTTGCTGTTTGTCCACTCCTTATTTTATTTTATTTTATTTTATTTTATTTTATTTTATTTTGTCACTCCTAACTAGAGTTTGGCTTAAGTTCCTTTTTCCCCCTCATGCCTATTCTTCAGTTCTCCAGGTGGTAATAACTTGCAGAAATGTTTTATTCAAGAATTTGTTCTCTTTCAGATGAGGTGTTCTGTGATATATTGTTTATTTACATGCAACCCACATGTGTACACCCTTGTTGAGTACAAGTGGAGGCTCATAGCATTAACTTTTCAGCAGACATCTGCTCTTCCATTCAGTTGCACTTCTCCTCCTCCTCCTCCTCCTCCTCCAGTTAGTGGGTGGGTGGATGAATGTATTCTAGAAAAAGCGCCAGCTGAGCTCTGCATCTCTCCAGGCTGATCTTGGAAGTTTCCGTCCATAAGATTTCTAAGCACTCATCCCACCACGCTCCTGCTATTCCATTCCATTGCAAGCTACAAGAAGAACGGACCATCCAAAGAGATAGCACAGTACATGTATTTCAGAAGTTTCATCCAGCCTGTACAATTATAAACATGGGCAAACAGATGAAATCATCACAGTTTGCTTCAGTATAACTTTTGCGTGAACCAAACTTGTTAATGATGCTCCATTGAAGTTCTGGCTTTCTCTTCTGCAATTTTTGTTCATACTAATAGTAGTGAGGATTATGTTTTGCCACATGATGGAAGGCCTTCATAGCAATCAAAGGTCAGGAAACGTTACCTTCCGGGCAGAGTCATTCCCGTTTCACTCTGAGTCATCTTAATTGTCCACCAGTACATTTCTACCCTTTGTTGTTTTAACAGAAAGACTGAACTGCTGCAAGGTATTTATGGCATGGGTTTTAACAGGCCATCCAAGATACAGGAAACAGCACTGCCACTGATGCTTGCTGACCCGTAAGTTGGTTTAAAACAAACTAGAAGGATATTGCTTATGTTGTAGCCCAGGAAAGACCTGTGTCAATTAGGCAGTGATTTGTATTGGCTGATTTGAAGGCATGGGAATCTCAGTTTATCTGCCTTGAAGGTGAATTATTGCATTTCTTACTTGGGGTTTCAGAGGTGGTCACTGTGGAAACAGGATGCTGAACGGGATAGCACGTAACTGGTCCACAGGACTCTTAACTCTTGTGAGTTAAGATAAAAGCAAAAAGCATTCCCAGAACAATACAAAGACTTAGGATACATTTTAATGCTTGCTCTACCCATCTTTTGCCTGCCGTATTTTAAATATTGTTATCATATGAAAATTCTCCTGCAGAAATCTGATTTTCAGCTTGTTCAATTTTGTCCTTCCTTTGAAATTATCTGCTTTCATTTTTTTCATTGTTTGTATCTTCTCTTAGCCTTTCAGACTTAGTTTAATGAAAGTTGCCTCTCCTTACTTCTCTTTACTTAAATGCCATTCCCACATTACTTTTTGTCTGTTTTATAAAAAAAGAAATCCTTGAATCATTTTATTATCCCACTTTCTCTTGTTAGTCAGTCGCCCTCTATTTGCACAAATGTTAATACAATAATCTTGTATTTCAGACCCCAAAATCTTATAGCACAAAGTCAGTCAGGGACAGGCAAAACAGCTGCATTTGTTCTAGCTATGCTGAGCAGAATAAACCCAGGGGACCAATTTCCACAGGTAAAAGTCACTAATTTGCTCATACCCTGCTGCTTCCTTCAAGGTCAGTTCACCAATGCTGTTTTGTGAGCAAAATCTTTGGTATTAACTTGAGTAAGGCTGTTTCCTTGCCTTTCCATTAAGCGCATGTCACTGTTAACCACAGAGGGTTTCAGTACACTGGTTTCAATTCTGAGTCAGAACAAATGTGGGAGCTGATTGATTAAAGGAAACTGCCATGGAATTGACACACATTCATCTTAAAATGCACCTGGATAAGAGAGTAATGTTTGTATGATCATCAAGTGGCTATTTTCAAATCATGGATGTGGAAGTCAGTCAGCTGTTTGGTGGGATTTTAGCCACTTCATTGCATTTTCCTGTAAGAAAGTTTGACTGGAAAATATGTTAGCAAAAGCACTAGAATCTAATGTTTTACAAAAATATTTTCCACTCAAACTTTGGTGCCCTTGCTTTTTGGCACATACGTTTAATGACCTAATTTGGGGTGCACCCAGACTGGTGCTTTAGTCCTTATTCACTTCTCTATAAGCTACATAGGGTATTACATTCCACTTTGCACACTTAGGATATAGTGTGCTTTGGGAATATATCCTGCTATATTTCATCAATGTTAGTGCATGTAAGTGATATAGCCCTGAGGGTAGTGATGGAACAATTCACCTGACCACACCATTTTATTGAACCAATTCAGTACACATATACACACACACACACTTGATCTCAAGCACTTTCCAAACTTCAGTGCTAAAAAAAAGTGTGTGAGTGAGAAATTAACTCAGGTCATATCTGACATTTATTTTAATTTGCTCTAGAGTTGTTCACACAAACATAATTTAAAAAAGCAGAATTCTTTTACAAGTTCAAATATATATTCAGCCAAAGCGCTGCCGGTCAGAAAAGCAATGGAGGGGGATACAGATGTGTGGTGATAAGACTCATCCAGTATGCTGCTGCATTCATCCCAAACTACCCCTCTTAAAATTCAGAAGAGCTGCACCAAAAATAATCCATGTTTATGATTGTGCTATGGTTCAATTTTCCCCCCTTTTTTTTCAATCAGAACTTTTGAAAGGAACATGAGAACGATGCAGGAAGACAGTGATCTGATAAGATGGAGATACTTTGTAAATCATATTATAGCTACTCCACAGTCAAGGTGTAGTGTAAGAGCACCCCAGGAAGTTGGAATCAATGAATGTGAAAACAGTCGATGCTAACGGCATAGTACTGTGTCTTGCTGAAGACTAAATTTAAAATGTGGCTCCAAGTTATGTAGATAAGTCATCTCATTACATTTCTTTTGTCTTGTGTTGAAGTGCCTCTGCCTCTCTCCCACCTTTGAACTGGCTGTTCAAACTGGACACGTTGTGGAGAAAATGGGAAAATTCTGTGTCAACATAAGGGTTACTTATGCTATTCGAGGCAACAGAAGTAAGGATTACTTACATATATGCTAGATATTTATCCTGCCTTTCCTCCATGATCTTCTCAAAGTACATGTTACGCTGCCTCCTCTAGTTTTTGCCCCTAATCAATATATACTTCCTCTATACTTCTTTCCCTCTGGACCATTCACACACACACACACACACACAGGCAGCCTTTGAAGGAAAAACACCTTCTTTTCTGTTTGCTGGCAGCCGCGGAGCTTCCAAATCACGCATCTCCTCCGTTCTCCTCCCCCACCTGTTTCAAGGTTGCAGCTTTATTGGCAACTCTGCCACGCTGATGCTGGGGAGAAGGCTCAGACAGGAGGGGAAGAAGGCAGCACAGGGGCCTGCAATTTTTGTAAGCAGCCTGCTCTTTTACAGTAGGTTGGACTGAAAGGGAGTAATTGGCCCAGTCACCCAGTGAACTTTCTTGACTGAAGATGGACTTGATCCTGGGACCTCCAGTAAAAGTCCATCATCCTGGCTGTCAGGATCTCTCTCTGCAGTGCATTTGCATTCTCTGCTTGTTGTGCTAACTAACAGTTAGTTTTCTGTGCTTATTTTATAAAACACAGTGATGTTGATCTCCCCCAATGCACACTCATGACCACATGTCCACATCATATAGGGGATTCGTCCACAGTTTTTAAGCTTTGTAGCAATCTTTTCAATAGCTAAGCACAATATTACCATTCCATTTTTAATTCTCCTTCTTGAGGAGTTATATGATTTTTGCATCAGACTTGGAAATTATTTGAGATGCTCATGATAATTTAATTTAATTTAATTTAATAAATAGTGGATAAATATAGAAAATAACTACTTTTTCTCACAACCAAAAATATTAGGAAATACTTTCTTCTATATTAGGTTGCAATATTTAGTTATTTGTACCCCACCATGGCCTTTCGTAATGTTGTCTTAACCGTAATTTGAAGATGTCAGAATGCGCTTCCTATAGATGCATATATATTGAGAAGTTGCTTACTGGATAGTGTGAGTGCTGTGGTGCAAACTCACTCTTTGTGTACTTGTTTTTATGGGGCCCAGAGTAGGCAACATAGTGCCCTTCATATATTCAATACAGTATTACAAATCCAATCAGACTCAGCCAGCAAACCAGTTGTGGTTTATTAGGTGCAGATAGCTGCCCAAAATATCTGGATGGCACCATGATACCTACCTTTTTGAAAAAGAAGACACAAAACACAGCATGGCTCCATTTCTTTTTTGGTGTTCAAGAAGATTAATAGTATTTATTCTTATATTTGTTATAATAAACATTCTAGGATCTTCCCGTTTTGCCTTCATAGCAATCCTATAAGGTGCCCAACATCCTCACTGATTTCTTCCTTAGGAATGAAATTGACTTGATTCAAGGTTCTAATTATCCGACCTATTCAGTTTCATATTTTCCTCACTTTGGACAGGACCAAAGAAAAACAACTTCACAAAGATAGTACTACATAGTCCTCAGTTTTTTTCAGTGCAGAAAATAATGCTCTTTACAACATAAGGAAAAATAAATATGTTTTTCTTAGTTCCAAGGGGGACTGTAATAGAAGAACAAATAGTAATTGGAACACCAGGGACCCTGCTAGATTGGTGTTTTAAGCTACATTTTCTTGATGTGAAGAAGATCAAAGTGTTTGTGCTGGATGAAGCAGATGTCATGATTGATAAACAGAATTTCCTGGACCAGAGTGTCCGTATCCAGAGGTAAAACATGCTTTTCTTCTTTTTGTACTTCATATTTAACTTTTCCCAAGTTGCCTCACTGCTACTCATTATCCAAAAGACAATTATAAAAATACAGTTCATATCAATAAAAATTCCTCTTTTATGGATTTATATTATTGAGAAAGTCATTAAGATTCTTATCCTCTGCCAGGGCAAAAGCAGATCCCAAGTTCAACAAATGCTGCTTCATGTGGCATGGAAGAAAAGCATGGATGTGTGTTGGTGCTTCTGCTTACAAGCTTAACAAAGGTCTCACCCAAGTCACTGGTCACTTCAATTACATGATGCCCCTCCTAAAATTCCTACAACAGATTTCTTTCTTCTCCCCACACAGTCTTCCTGCCTTAGGTCTGAGAGCTTTCTAGGTTCTTGTCTCTTCCACTCCTATGGAGCCATCAGACCGTTGCTCTGTCTATCCCAGGACTGTAAAACTTAGGGACCTCCAGATGTTAGTGAGTTCTGGTTACCATCAAGTGAACCAACATGGCCCACAGTGATGGATCATGGATGCTGCAGTCCAAATATAACTTTGCTCATCTTTGATCTAACTGAATGCAGCCTATACTGGCCTGTATTGATGGGCAATTTTCTGTAGATGGAGACATTGAGGATCAAATCTGGAAACCTTATGCATGTAAAACCACTGAGCTGCAGCCTCCTTGAAACAAGTTCCTTCATGTTGCCATTCATGTTGGAATGTTGACAAAAGGAGCCATGAAGATCAGTTCACTTGGGCATTTAATGTTGACTTCTCTAAGCCCTATCTGTTGGAACTAGTCTTTTTTTTAAAAACTTTCCATAGAACTTTATCACCAGATTGCCAGATGCTTCTCTTCTCAGCAACCTTTGAAGATCCTGTGCTACAGTTTGCACAACGCATCGTCCCTGAGCCCAACATAATTAAGCTCCGTCGAGAGGAGCTGACCCTCAGCAATATCAGGCAGTACTATTTTGAGTGTGAGAATAAGGAAGACAAATTCAGAGCCCTGTGCAACATCTATGGCAGCATCACCATTGGCCAGGCAATCATTTTCTGCCAGGTAAGGTGCTCTGATGTCAGCCATTCAAGGTAAACCAGACTAGGAAACCAAAGTCATGCAAGCCAATATTATTATTTTTTACTTTTATTTATAGTACAGAATCTTGCAAGTCTGAATGTGCTTCCCCCCTCCCTCCCTTTATCTTAGAACTAGGGAAGGTCTTGTCTGAGACATTTATGCATGTTACAGTTCTGCTTTGGACTCAAGTTTCTTTTACCTGACCATTGTCTTGGTAGCAGCTCTTCCTCCTGTCCCTCAAGGTCATTTCTTCTGCCTATGACATCTGGCCAGCGTTTGGCTGGATTTAGGTATCTTCCTGCAAATGTCTCACCACTAAATCTGGAGCATATTCATGTGCTACCAATCACCCAAAGAGGGAATAGCAATTTAAGTTGCTTTATATTGATGCAGAAATGCCATCATTGTTAACAGTTGCCCCTAGAAACGTAAGAAGAATGAATGGTGAAACACTGTAATAGGTTGTTTTGTGGGTTCCTTCTTGTTTTGTAACCCATTCATATCAGGTGGATTATAAATTAATACATTATAGGACCCCAAAAACACAGCCAGGGTGCTATCCATTTCAGTGCTTCACTTTGTATGTCTCTTATTTCTCATATGCTTTTGACAGACTCGCCGCAATGCTAAATGGCTGTACTTTGCCCTAGCAAATGATGGGCACCAAGTGTCCCTGCTGAGTGGGGAACTGACAGTTGAACAGAGGGCAGAGCTAATCCAGCAGTTCCGCGACGGGAAATACAAAGTTCTCATCACAACCAACGTCTGCGCTAGAGGTACAGTTCAAATGGCTGAAGCTACCCCTGGCTTTTGCTGTTTTTATCCAGGCAAGTCAGCTGTAAATATCCTCCTTGTTTATATTTCTCCATAGGCATTGACGTGAAGCAGGTCACAGTCGTGGTCAACTTTACCTTACCTACAAAAATGACACGGGAACCTGACTTTGAGACCTACCTGCACCGCATTGGTCGAGCGGGACGGTTTGGAAAGAAGGGCCTGGCATTCAATATGGTGGAAAGGCATAATTTACCCCTCATGTTTGCGATCCAGGACCACTTCAGTGAGTGTGATATTTTCCCTGGACCAGTAAACAACAAGTGTGGGTAATCCAATATTTAAACTTTAGTCAGAAATACATTCATTAGCTTTTAGTTTGCACCAGAGCTGTAAAGTAGAAAACTGTAAGGCTGCAGTGCTTGGAAGATAAAAAGCACAAGGAGACTGAAGCACCTCCGCTTAATTTGACAATAATTCTTGTATCGTTCACTTTAAAACAGGTGGGCATTTTTCTGAGCAGGTGGACACTCTTCCAAACACATCATGGTCTGCAGCCATGCACCATCTTAATTTCTTAGAACACCTACAGAGTTCGTGCTGGGAATAAAGATTACATTGGTGGCAAGTGTTTTTGTTTTGTGGCTTTTTGCAGTTTTTTTTAACCAAAAGAGTATAAAAATAGAACTAGGAGCTTGGCAGGCAGCAAGCGGGGTTGTATAGGAGGTGCTGTGTCGTAAACTTTAGAAGATCTGCCTACTGCAGTCCAGTGGCTTAGGAATCCCTGCCTTTCCAAAAAGTCAGCTATAAAGTTATTTCCTCTTTTCAGAGATCCTCATCAAGCGCCTTGATCCAGAGGATATGGAAGCGCTAGAAAAAATAGAAGACTGAATTCTTCCAGTTCTATCAAGACATCTTTCCCAATCATATTTTGTTTTGTCAAATTAAAAAAAAAAATCTTTACGTTCCCTTTTTTTTTTTTGCTTCCGTAAACTGTTATGGTAGTGCATAGAATTGTTTATATGATTAACACAAATAGCCCTGAGCTTTCTAAACCATCTCAAAATCCCTTCTCATCTACACAGATATCCTGTACTATTTTTACGCTCCTCTGAGTATGACTGCAGTAATTTGGGGCCTTTTTTTTTTTTTGTCTGGGAAAAATGGAGGAACTTAGTGATTCAAACTGTAAAGCTGTTTTTACTTAAATGCCTTAGCACCACATGTCAATTGTTTCCATCATACAGTTTAAGAGTACTCCACAATCAGTTGCACCAAGATCATGGGAATCCTCAGATCCAACTACATATGATATTGGACTTTGAGAGTGCCAGCATTCTATGCTAAATCTGTATCATTTGAACTAAAGTTTAGGTTAATAAAGTGACTTAGAACAGAACACAAGATTTCTCCTGGCAATTAATTTATGTGCCTCTAGGTGGCAGTAGCTGCTTGTACTGAAAGCTGAGTTACAAGCAAGTTTGATTTAAGGAGATATATATGTGTATTAAAAAAAAAGAAAATCCCCTCTCACCCCTATAGGTGGTCTGTGTCTTCCTCAATCTTGGGTCCTCTACCAGAGGCCTGGGAGTTTGAGGGTTC